TTTATTCTTCAGCTTTGATCCTGGCAATAATCTTTTGAGCCTGTTCGCCTTGAGAGATTAGTTGTCTCCAAGAACGACATTCTGCAACTCCTATTCGGGCTAGGAGGTCGGTTTGCAAGTTGTGTCGACAGGTCTCTACTAAGGTAGACTGTGTCATACCTGACGAACACCGGAGAGCCATGGATCGGAACCTTTTAACGAAGGCTTTGACGGACTCCTTCTTCTTCTGCTTGGTGGCGAGAAGGGTATGGATAGAGACTTCTGTATCCTCTTCAAAAAATCTTGACATGAAGAGTGTCTCTAAATCTGCCCACCTTTGGATACATCCGGTAGGTAGTTTCCTGAACCATTCAAAGGCAACTCCCTTAAGGGTGCCAATGAACAATCGAGCCAGTATGGCATCGTTTGATATTACATTCCCAGTCTGTGACTTGAAATGATAAATATGTTGGTTCGGTGATCCCGTGCCGTTAAAAGTTTGTAGCGTCGGGACCTCAAATTTTGGAGGATAAGGGGCTACATCCCATTCGGCAGGATAGAGTCTGACAACTCCATCGTCTTGGAGCTTTCTTCTGTTAGCAATGACATTGAGGCGGGCTTCCAATTCTTCCATTTTAGCAGATTGGAGATTTTGCTCGTTCTCCATCTCTCTTCCTTCATCAGAGGAAGATTCTAGGTTGTGGGCTTCTTGGTCAGAAGTCGCATCATCAACCACTTTTCCCTTCCCTTTGCTTGTGTGAGGTCAGGATGAAGACGCTTTTCCTCTCTGGGAAAGTTCTTGCCTAGGTAGCGAATCTGTCTTCTGAGATTTGGCCTTGTCTGTGACAATTTGAGTCAACAGGGCCATGAGTTCATTGATGGCCTCTTGCTGAGATTTGAGCATGGCCTCCTGCTCATCCAGTCTCTTCGTGAGATCTTCATAGCTTTCTGTCATATAGGCGGGGCTCTCATGTTCAACAAAAGAGCTTGATGATTGGGACTCTGCAATGGCTGAGTGTTCATCATTAGAATTGGTTCCCCTGATTAACCTCCGGTAGTTGACAGGGGGAATGGCTCCTGTTCGCGTCCGAGTGCGTCGGTAAGCTCCTTCAAACTCGTTAGTGATTTCTCTGACGGTCGGCGAACATCTTGTCTCAGAGTCATCGGAACTAGGACCTGAGGCTTTCCCTTTGGCGATCACATTGATAGTGACCTCAGGATATTTGGTCTCTGGAGACTTCTTCCTGTGAGAACATCGTCGTTGGTTGGGCAAAGCAACATTCGTAAATTGGTCGAACACCAATAGTTTGGCCACATATGAGCAGCATTGATATTCCGAGAGGACCGTAGGAATGACTTGTTGCATCGGTCTTTCTCTTGATATGAACTCTCTCAAATCTGTTGTAAAGACTCGAGGAGAATTACTCACTGATCGTGAGGTTTGAACTGGAACCCCCAGTCTATGATTGGACAGGACTGGTTCTTGGTGGACATGAATCTGGTTTAGATACCTTGAATCCATGAACTTATTATATCCGCCCCTCAATCTAGTCGCGCTACACAGAGTATTCGGGGGTCTCGCTGCCTGGTCAGCGAGCCGGGGGTCCACGGGACGGCTGGAATACCCCCCGGCGGGGTTCGGGGCAGCGCCCCGAAGCTCCACGGTATACACCAACTTCTGTATTGGATTTGGACCTTGGGACGCGAGGGTCGCATTTGGCACCTGAGACGCGAAGGTCGTGTTTGGCACCTGAGACGCGAAGGTCGCGTTTGGCACTTGAAACGTGAGGGTCGCGTCTTACACTTGAAACACAAGGTCCGCATTTTGGTTTGGCGACATGAGGGTCGCGTTTTGGTTCTGGGACGCACTCCTGAGAGTTGCGTTCTGCCAGATCAATGCAGTTTCGACGTCTGTGTTTTGATGTTGGAACGCGCCTCCGAAGGCTGCGTTTTGATTGCACAACGCGCCACAGAGGGCTGCGTTTAGCATAAGCTGAGCCCACTCCTTCAGAGGAGGGGCTGTTCGAGCAATCTTTGCTAAACGAGAGGGCTTCCTTCGGCATTAGAGCAACATTTGGAGCTTTAGTCTCCTTGAAGATTTTGCGGATCTTGCGCATAGCCTTGGGGCTAAGGGATCTGGAGGAGATGGACTCCTCAAACTTGGCTTGGTCAAACTTTACCATGAGAGTTTCGACGGTCGTTCCAGTAAGATGAACATCGGATTGCGCCACCACTTCTTCATCAGAGAAGATCTTCCCCAGCGGAGTCGCCATCTTTTGTTTGTAGAAAAAATTCGATGTAAAGCAGTAAAGAGAAGAAAAGAAATTTGACTTTGATTCTTTTAATCTCGGTTACAATTCGATTATAAAAGAGAGGAGAACGAAATTTGGTTCTCCCCTTTGTTTAAAACTGGGTTCTTCTCGGTGGCGATGGAGTGCCTCCCTCGAATGCTTGCGTCGAGTTTGCTCTCCGTTGACGATCCGCACGTCTTGATTCACTGGAACGATGTCTTCTCCTCACGATTTAACGTTGTGGAGAACTTGCGTGGCAAGTTTAAAACTCTTGATGAGTTGATAACTCTGATCGAGTTTGAACTCTTGAAAAAGAGTTGATTTGAACCGAAAGTTCGGTTGATAAGCCAAGGATCAAAGCTCTCTGTTGTCGAAGTTGAAGAAAATCTTCGTTGGAGGATGATGCCGATCCCCTCAAAAGCTCGCCCAAGGATCTCTCCTGTTGCTGCCAATTCCCAGATCCGGAAAATGCCAGTCTCTCCGATCAACTCAGCCCACTCTTTCGTTCCAAAAAGCCAGCCCCGAACTCAGTTGAGTTTACTCGCTTTTATAGGGGATTAAGGGGTGTAACCGCCCCATTAATTCTCTCCATAGTGGGGCGAAAATCCCTCAAATCGTGGAGGGAAAACTGTTACTGCAACAGTTCAGCTCGTGTTTGAACGAGTCAAACGCCCACGTCGACGTTCAGGACCCTAACTCCGCGTTTTAGAATTGAGACGCGGAGTTGGGTACTCGCTGGGTGTTGAAAAACGCGGGTCCGACCCCGGCATTTTGGTGTTGTAACGCGGGTCCGACTCCAGCGTTTTAATGTTGTAACGCGGGTTCGACCCTCGTGTTTTGATGTTGTAACGCGGGTTTGACCCTGGCATTTTGATGTTGTAACGTGGGTTCGACCCTCGTGTTTTGATATTGTAACGTGGTTTCGACCCTCGCGTTTTGATGTTGTAACGCGGGATTGACTCCAGCGTTTTGATGTTGTAACGTGGGTTCGACCCTAGCGTTTTGATATTGTAACGCGGGATTGACCCCGGCGTTTTGATGTTGACACACGAGGAGGACCTCCGCGTCTTGTCTTGAAGAGATTATCACAAAGTAATCTCTTTTGTCATAGCGTTGCAAAGATCATTGTCTTGTAATCTTCGTCTTGGCTCCTTGAGAATATGAGAGTCGCCAGATTGTAACTCCCGATGTTGATTATGAATGCTGTTAAACTAGAGCTCTCATCGGTTGTCGTGAAGGTTGTCAGATTGTAACCTTCAGCGATCTACGTGAAAGTCTTCAAATTGTAGCCTTCTGGAAGTCGTCAGATTGTAACTTCCATCATCGGTGTTTGATGGAGGATAAGCTATCTATTGTGATTTTTAGACAGCCTACACTTCACACAAGAATCTTCCTCCACCAAACTCCAAAACCCTAGATCTGAAATCTGGGCTCTGATACCACTTGTTGCGCGCAACGGAAATTTCGGCAGCACAATAAGAGAGTCAGGCCGCAATAAGAATTTTTGTTTCTCGAAGGGAATAAGAATCTGAAGCCTAATATCTCATCAAAGTGAGATATTAGCTCTTCCTCTCGTCAGCTCTAGGACTGCGCGTCGAGGGAACCTAAAAAGCTATTACAAATCACCCAAATAGCAGTACAACCAATTTTACGTGGTTCGGCAAATTGCCTACGTCCACGGGGCAAGGAGGGGAGAGATCTACTAATAGAGGGAGAGATTACAACTAGGGTTTACAATCACTCAATCTAAACCCTCAAACAAACTCTCAAATCCCTCACACAAATACTCTCTCAAAGAGATGCACAAAACCCTAGATAAAGGGACTACACAAAATCTCTTCAACTGCAGCCGCAAAAATAAAATCAATAACTCCTTCGCACCTGCTCCAAGCCGAGAAAAAGCCACAGCCGAAAAAAATCAAAGTTCCCTGCACTCCTGCACAAACCCCTAGGGCAAAATCAAATGGCTATATATAGCCTGATGAAAACACGTTCGTGGGTCAGCGGTTAAAATCACGTTCGTGGGCCAGCGGTGAAACCGCGTTAAAGAAACGTGTTGAAGAAACACGTTCGTGGCGTTCACGTGGGCCACTGGTCCCCACATATTCACACTTATTTGGAAATTTAATCCTAGAAAACAACCTCTTTCAAACTTAATTGCAAAAACCGACCTGGTTTCAGTCATGACGCTGAAACCAGGACAGTTTTTGTGAAAAAACTTCGGAAACTTCACGGGAGTTGAACTCCCGTGAAGTTTAGCAAAACTGCTAAACTTCACAGGAGTTGAACTCCGTGAAGTTTCGCAGTTAAAAAAAAAGAACTACGAAACTTCACGGGAGTTCAACTCCCGTGAAGTTTAGCAGTTTTACTAAACTTCATGGGAGTTCAACTACCGTGAAGTTTCGGATAAAAAATTTCAAAAAACGACCTGGTTTCAACTCCAGGGCGGAAACGAGGCCGGTTTTTGAATTTTTTTGTAAAAGCGGTCGTTTTTTGAAAATAAATAGTGAAAGGGGTTACTTTTGAAAATTTGTCCATTTTTATGAGGATTTTGGGTTGGAGAAGAAAGAGGGGACGCCATTTTGGTCATTGAGGGATCCAATTGTAAGGCTCTTATTATTTGAGTGGCTGATGAGCAATTTCCACGAATGGAGGGACTAATGTGGAATTACGGAAGTTATAAGGGACTAATTATAGATAACCCAGGTCCAAAATCAGTCGGAGGCCGTCTCTATTCAAAATTTTCACTTTGTCCCGCTCTAAAACCCCACAAGCGCCCTTCTTCGTCCTCAGCTCCCCAAAATGCCTGCCGCCGTCTCATTCTAGGGTTTCCAAAAACAGCAAAAAGAGGAAACCATGAACAAAGAAAATCTCCCTCCTGATCCCCAATCGCCGATCATCACCGGCGACCGGCGCTTCAGAATCTCCCACAACTTTCCCGTCACCAAACCCCACCTCGACCGCAAGCGCCCCTTCGATTTCAATTCCCCTCTTCCTCTCTCGAAGTCCGAATCTTTTCCCCTCTCTCCTCTTCTTTCTCTTTTAACCCTCTCGCTCTAATTTCTGTCTCTTTTCCTCAGATGCGTTAACGCAAACGGATCGTGCCCGCGTACCCCGCTGTTGGCGATCGCTAGCCCTAACCCTAAGGATATGGAGGTCTCTCCTGCGAGCATTCTTGATGAGGAGCTGGATGATGCTTTCTTGAGAGAAGTGGATGTCGTTTGCGAGCGATCTGCGATCAAGAAAGAGAAGCCGGTCCCTGAAAGCTCGGCGGAGGATGAAAAGAGTTCTGTGGTTCGAGATTCTTACGATGAGAACCGGGGTGATTCTCTGCCTAGAAAGTATTATGAGTACTTGGAGAAATTGAATGACGCACAAAAGGAGGCGGCTTGTTGCGACATTTCGGTTCCTTTGGTGATTGTGGCTGGCCCTGGGAGTGGAAAGGTCTGCACTTTTATCACTGTTTCTTGGAGTTTTTAATTGCCTATTTTGGATTTCTTTTGTTCTAGTTGCATTGTATTTGATTTGGGAATGCAGACCTCGACTATGGTTGGGCGTATGCTAACTCTGATGAAAGAGGTATATTTTAGTGATGTTATGTTAAGATGCTTGTATTTGTTGTTTTTTTACTGGTATGAAGTTGGTTATGTTTATTAGGGTATTGGACCTGCAAACATCCTTGCCATGACTTTCACCACTGCGGCGGCATCTGAGATGAGAGACCGGGTTGCGTTGGTGGTAGGAAAGGCGACCGCGAAAGAATTGGTTATAAGCACGTTCCACTCATTTTGTCTGCAACTCTGTCGATCTCATGCTGAGAAGTATGCCATTTGCAATGTTTTCCATTCGTATTAGTTTATTGAATCATAGTTGCAAGTTGACTTTAGATAGTATGGTGGTGATTTCGGTTCAACCTTTCTTGCGATTGCTTTGTTTTTCAGAGGTTTCTGCCAGAGTTTCTATTAGCCAATAAATGCAGTATCAATGATAGCCAGGTTTCTGACCAGATAGGATGGGATTTGTCTTTCCACAGGAAAGAATTACTGGTGTGAAATCTCAGCAATTTGGATTAATTGATATAAAAGGTATTTTGACAAATTAAAGGGTAGAACAAGGACGTGACAATATTGAAAGACTATAAAGAGTTCAGGAAGGGTTTGTGCAGACTAGCATAGTTTTCTTACATGCTGTGGAGAATTTCAAGCGAATGTATATACAGAAATCTAGTAAAAATAATGCATCTTTTGTGAAAGTAAATTAATAGCTTTTAAAAAGTTAGAAGAAAATGACAGGAAAAACTAAAGGCAATGGAGACACAGGGAGGAAGGTTTTAATGCATGCTTAGGATGGGACAATTTCGAAAGACTAAAGAGGGAAGGGTTTGTATTTTAGTGGCATAATTTTCTTACATGCTGAGGAGAATTTCAAGTGAATGTATATACAGAAATTTAGTTAAAAAAGTAATGCATCTTTATTGAAAGTAAATTTAGTAGTTTTTAAGACGAAAATGACAATGAAAGGATGAAGGCAATAGAGACACAGGTCGGAAGGTTTTAATAGATATGCTTTATTAATTAAAAAAAAACTAACATTCGAAACTTGTAGGACTTTAACTGTTTTGAATTTACCCAAGCAAAAAAGACTTGAGTGATCTAAAATGGTTTAACATATCCATAAAATTACAAAATATATTTGAAAAGGCTCCAGTTATGTGTTCCTCATACCCAGAAATGTTTCTAGTTTATATAGGATGCAATGTTAATGACCACAACATTCCAACTATTTGGGATTGTCTAATTTGTTTCTTCAACGAGTACAACAGTTAACAAAATGTAAAGATGCTGTATATTGTGAGAAAAGAAATTAGAACAAACTGAAGATTGCAGCTAACACTTAAAAGTTCCAGAATTGCGTTGACCTTGACCTGAAGATTGCAGCTAACCCTTCTAAGTGGTCTTATGTGGCTTGACGCTTCCATTCTCTAATTGATGAGTTAACCACAGTCAATGCCTGGTCAACTTCTAGACGGTCTATTATCTCTTGGAAGCTGGTTACGCTTGGTATATAAATATCTTATCACAATGCAGGTTGGATCGCACTCCAGAGTTTCAAATATATGGTCATGGACAGCAGAGAAAGGCTGTCATAGAAGCACTGCGCCTAATGGAAGATGGAAGAAAGGAAAGACAAGAACCAGGAATTGAAGCTGATGACTCTTGCAGTGGGGACTTGGCACACTCATTTAAAGATAAGTCTAAAAAGTGGCAGAAGTTCGTGACACAGGTGCATTTTCTGCAGTTAATCTTTTTACCTGAAGACTATATTTCATGGTGTTGATCACTATTTGCCATCCTATGTGTGTATAGAGTTGAGCGTGTGTGTATGTGTGTATAGAGTTGAGCTAGTCTACTATTAATAGTATCCAGCATGTGGATACTATCAACCTAATTTTAAAAATTGGAATTGAAAAATGAAAATCCAAACTGGTAGATGTGATCTACTACACATGAACTAGTTAGAAACAAAATCCCAAAGGATTTCATCATCATTAACCCATGCAAAATATGTCATCAAAATCAACGTTTCAGAATTTTCATGAAGTTAGTTAATTTTCGCCTCTTGATATATAATTCAAAACACGTCGAAACCATTTGAAATTTTGTTTCTATCTAGTTCATGGGTAGTAGATCATTCCATTCTCCTACATAAGGGAAAAGTTATTATACAGCCATCTTCCCATGCATATCCTGCTGAGTGATTGAGTTCTATTGGAGAGTGTTTCAAGGCTTGTTGAGTTTGCCTTGTTATGACATAGTCGCTTTTCCCATTATCAGCAAGGGTGTGCCCCTGACACATAGGGAATCCATGGCCTTGCTAGGCAGTGGATCATACCAAGAATCCAATCTACAATTTAGAACTACTGAATGGGAGATTGTGAAGTGGACAGTTACTTGTGAAATAATTGTAAATGATGATCACTGCCTGTGGTCTATGAGGATGAAATTTGAAGCCAACAACATCTATTATACAACTGCCTTACTATATAGCCACTACTGCATCGTGTAGCCAGATTGTTCAGAGGTCACATTAAATTGAGAAATTACATAACCTGATTAATGAACTTGACAATGGGAACATGCAAGATCTGTGGAAATCAACGAAACAGATGGCACTCATACATTGTGTAATTGGTGGAAAACAAGAAACATGCTGATAACTGTTCTTGGAGAGAGCAGGAAAGCAACATTTGTCACAGAGGAAAAGCTACATTCCAGATATAAGAGCAACTGGTTATGCGAAAACATACCTAGCCTGTTCTGGTGATGTATCAAGGAGTGGATCCAAACCATAATGTCAGAGTATTGATACAGACACACACGACTCAGTAGCAGTTGTGCAGCTGTGCTGTACCTCTTGGAACCGTAATTGAAACATGCCTGTAGAACAATGATAATTTGGAAGTGATAAAATTGGGTATAAGAAGGATAATGGACCTTTGTATAATTAGATGAGAGAAGAGGAAGGAACCTCCTACGCATGAATGTACTTTTTCTTTATTAACTACTGCTGTTCTTTCTTCCTTTCTGATGTTTAGTATTATAAGGTTGAGCAAATGAGTATCTATTTACAAGTAGTTGACTAGTATTCCAAAATTGATATTCTTTGATGACCACATAGGCTAGTCATTCTCATAAGGAATTATTCCATTTTCATCAACCCCCAATTTTCTCCTGAGATTAATTTAATCATGTTGCAGCAACCCATGCTAAAATGTCCAAACTTTAGTAAACTATAATATTATCCCAAATGCGTCTTTATGTGGCTTTTGAATCGTAAGTGCCATTGTTTTTGTCCACTAACCCAGTCATCCTCTTGAGGAAAAAGCAATCAGATTTGACCTATTTGGACAAGAAGTGTAGCTCAAGCTTTAAGGCGACTATATTAATAAGAAAAGAACGACCTTTGTGAGGCATCTAAATCTTACACTAGATATTATTTCATTACTTACTTTCTGCAGGTAGATATACTTGGACCTTATTTTTGTAGTGGAGAGTTACATGGAACTCCATCTAGCATACTGCATACAAAAAGCTCCAAGAGTTGTAGTTTAAGTAAAGAGTGTATTCTTGGCATGCTTCCTGCTTGTTTGGACTACTACTATATTTGCTGCGCCCACACTTTGGTTTTGTACATAAACAATCGTACAATGCTAATAACAGTTCATTATATACTTCTTTTCAGGCTAAGGCTTCTGGAAAAACACCAGAAGATTTCTTAAAGATGGGTGATCGGACAGGAGTAAGCTAATGTATTTTTGCGATCAAATTATGCTGCTAAAATTTATTTTGGCAATATTTAGAGTTCTAGCCTTGTAATTTGAATTAGGCTGAGCTTCTTGGGCACTACACTAGCATACTTAAATCATGCAATGCTCTGGATTACCACGACTTTATCAGCTCTTCAGCAAAGTTACTAACCGATTTCCCTGAAGGTTATACACCATTCTTAGCATAAACAGCCGTAAGAAGCTAAATCTTCATTATGCCAATGACTTTATGTTTTCTATGCTCAGTTTATAAGGAGTGCTTGCACAAGTGGAAGGCCATTGTGGTGGATGAGTTTCAGGACACAAGTTCCATGCAATATCGTCTTTTAAAGATTCTTGCTTCTCATAATCATATAACAATTGTTGGTGACGAGGATCAGGTACACCTTCTTATTTAATCCTTAATTTGTTTCCAATTGTCTTCAGTTACTGCAAGTGCTGATTTCTTTGGACTAGCTGTTGCGTTCAATGATTTTTCAGCAAGCTGGCATTTTGGAGAGTTGTAACTTACTCAAATGTTTTCTTTGTATCAGTCTATATTCAGTTTCAACGGTGCCAATGCTTGTGGATTTGATTCATTTCGTAGAGATTTTCCTACTCACAAGGAGGTCTTGCTCATGCTTTTTAAATTTATTTTTGTTCCAT